AAGTGGACTTCATCTATCAAGCAGGATTAATAAACGTAAATCTAGAAGGCTAGAAATCTGTGTCAGAAGAGAAAACTCATAAAAGCTGCAAGCGCAAAACCAGATTAGCCAGAAAGGAATGACAGACGAAGCCACGCGCTTCCGGGAGCAGCAGCCAGAAGACGACAGAGCAGGTCTGCAGCCCGCTAAGAGAGGGTGACCGCCAGCTCAGGACTGGATGCCAGGTGAATCGTTTCTCAAGAGCAAGGGCAAACTCAAGACATTAGACACAGAGAGACTACGAGCGTCATCACCCACAGACCATCGCTAAAAGACCTGCACTTTAGCAGAAGACGAGTGAGGCCAGGGAAGGGCAGTGGGTGTAAGAAACCACAGTGAAGTTTTTTGTTTTCCGAAACAGGTGTAAGGAAAATTCTAGGCAACAGTAACAAGTTGGTCAGAGGTGATGTTTTAGAGGGAGTCAGAACTTGCTAAGGTCAGTGTCATGCTGGGGAGAAAGATAGAAATATGGAATAACCTTAGACTTCATTAGAAAAATGTATTGTTAAAAATATATGCTTAAAACATTTAGCCTAATCACCAAAAAAGACTGCCATCTATAATTTCCAAATCACCAGAGGAAAAGGAAGTGAACGTGGGACTTTTTTTTCAAGAAGACAGGAAATAAGGTAAAAAGAAAGGATGAGAAACTGAAAAAACGAAATGGAGGAAATAAATCTAAATATATCGGCAACCACAATAAATGCAAATGAAATAAGTTCCTGCTCTTAAATAGCAGAAATAGAAGGAAATCGCAGACTTAACAACAACAAAATCCAGTTGTACGTTGCTTGTAAGAGGCATACCTTAATAAAAAGCACGCAGACGGATTGGAATACAAGAATGAAAAAGGCGTATTATGTAAACACTAAAGGAAATCTGTCAAGGTAATTTAAGAGGCTGAACTTGTGTGCCCCGTAACAACATAGGTTTAGGATATATAAATGGATGGCCAAATCATAAGGCGAATTTGGCAAATGCACAAAATGCAATTATTTGAACACACATCCGTCAGAAACTAGCAGGTGAAGCAGACTGGAAAGACTGGGCTGAGCTTCCAGAACAAACAGGACGATGACTTAGAACCGAATCTCCCTTGCACGCCCTGCAAACCGATACCAAGCAACACAAAAAAGTTTTAATTTTGTGAATTTCAAACTAGAGCAAGGAGTCTGCAGACTGGGAAATGCATGTTCGTGTTGTCAGGGGCTGTAGAGATCAGAGGCGTGCGGGAAGCTGGTGGTGCAAGGACGGTGTGGGTGAGTACCACGAGGGCCGAGGAGCTACAGTTGCAGAACGAGTCAGCCACACGTACTCCCTGAGGATCAGAAGTCCATCTTCCAGTGCAGAAGGATGGGATGTCTATGAGCTGGACTTAGTTTAGACAGGGCCGGATCAGGCAAAAGCTGGGACTGTGTATGAGGGAACATGGAGAGAGAATGTGCAGGAAGGGGGAGTGTCTGGTGTTGGCAAGTATCAGAAAGCAGCAGCAAAAACCTGCCCCCTGAAGATTGTTGTGGCTGCAATCTGTAAGGCATCCAGGAGCAGGGAAGGTGCTACAAACCCTCCATGGGCTCGGTGGAGGGGCAAAGGAGGCAGGACCAAACAATCCCACTGAGGCACCATTTGAAGAATGAAGTCAGTTCACTTGGCAGGAGCTTTTCAGTGGCTAACAGAAGGCTAAGGGGATCCCTTCTCCCCTCCCTCTGCAAATAACTGATCCGGGAAAGTTCAACTCATTCAGTTATGTTTAACAAAAAGGGGCATCTGGCATAACATCACTAGAAAGCCACCATAAGGGAAAATATGGTAAAGAGAAGGTATTTGTACCATAAGATAAAGGATGCTCACTAGAAAAACCACTATCTACTGTGGATTAAAATAATCACCACTAAGAAGGAAACAAACCACAAGGACTTACGGAAGAGATGGCTAAATGGCCAAAGTGCCGGAGAGAATGAACCGAGGGCTGGAATTATTCAGGAAAGAATAGTAAAATCATCACAGAAGTAAATATGTAACTGGATGAGCACAGGGGACTGTAGACGCAGCAGAAGACACGGCAAGGGACTAGGGAGGCAGAATTGAGAACAGGCTACACAACAAAAAAGAAAGAATGAGTCTTTGAATATTTTTAGAAAGTGATTCCTACAGAAGACGAGCAAAGGAGATACAACAGGTGGATAATTGGAGGCGTCCAAGAGAGTCCCAGGATGACAGAGCAGAATAAACACAGTCAGACTGTCCCATAACCCCCTGCGATAATGTGAATTTAGCTAAAACACAGTAGGCAGTTGGCTCCCATTACCTGTCCTCAGATGAGCGTGGGCTCAAGTTATCCTCGGTGGAGGGAGGGGAGGAGGGGAGGGGAAGGCTGAGTGGGGAACCTGGAGGCAGGAGCGTGGTCTCCACATTCCTAGTATTCGCCCAACCCCGTCTTCCCAGATCAGACCAGTAATGGGGAACTCCTAGAGTCCCTGCTGCTGTCTAGTCAGCCCCAGGGCACAGAAGTGATATTGAAGCTAGGTGGCACCAAACTGCAGCCTGGCCCCATATGGGTTGGCTGAAGCTGCTGGACCCTAGAATTCCCATTCCAGCAGCTCTGCGGCCACCTGAGTCATTTCACTAGTCTCGCGTTAATGTGAGCACACGTCTTACGGGACTGAATTTTATAGACCCCACTTCTCATGGTGTGGTGATGCTTCACTATTTTTTAAATATAATTCAAGAAAAGGTCAGTGAAATAAAAGAAGGCTAATTTACATATGAGAAAGGACATACCATGTGCCAGGGAAAATCAACACATGTGCCAGGGGGAAATGGTCAACACTGCAACACAACCCAGTGAAGTCACTGACTTTTAATGGAAATGAAAGGATCCTGTAGGCATCAGGCAGAAACAACCACGTCACTTTAGAGGGAAAACAGTTAGGCTGGCTTTGGCCTTTTCCACAGCCACATTCAACTCCGGAATAAAGGGAGCAACACCCGCAGGATCTGAAGGAGAGAAAGTAAGAGACGAGGATTTTATACCCAGCCATGCTGGCCTTCAAGTTGAACGGCTACAGATAAAAAGTATTAAATCTGCCAAGAACTCAGGAAATGTTGCTCCCATGAACTGTTCATGAGAAACTACTAGAGGGTTGACTCCAGTCGACCAAGAGGCAATTGGGGCCACTTTGTCACCAGCGCTGGGGTGGGCATCACATACATCTAACTGCAGAGTAAAACTGAAACAGGAAGAGGATGTCGGAACAGCATTTAGTATTACGTGCTGCAATGCATATAAGATTCATCTAAGTAAAATCAAGAGGAGAGGAGGGAGGGAAAGAAGGGAGAGGTGGAGTGAGCTCTCAGATTGTTCCGTCTGTCAGTGACTCAAAGAACATCATTTAAAGCTGACAAATTGAGCAACAGCATAGAAGTAAAAATTGGAAAGGCGGAGTAAACAGTCACTGTTTGAGGTGATGTGGAGAACCCAAGAGAATTGATGAAAACCCGAGAGAACTGGTGGAAAAAACTACTGCCAACAACAAGAGAATTCGACCTGGCAGTGGGGTGTAACATTAATGTAAATAATGTTCAGTAATCTTCAATAATCTTCGTAGAAACACATAGCAACCTGTATGAGCTTTATAGACAATCCCATTTACAATAGTGACAAAAAGATGACGTGCCTAGGAATAAACATAATAAAAATATTCAGTACCTCAAAAAATAAATTTGAGGAAAAGTTCAAAACCCCTGAAGACATAAAAAGAAGGGAGGCACACCATGGTTTGGAAAGGAAAAGTTAATGCTGTATTATGAAGTTGTCTTTATGCTCTAAGTTAATTTATAATTTTAACATCATCCCAGTAAATCTACCAACTGATTCCCTCATTCTCAGAACTACCTAAGATGGTTTCTGAATTTCACATGAGAAAATAACAAGAAGAGGCAAGGAAACTCTGAGCAGGAAACAGGAAAGGGGTTCTGATCCTAGCAGATTCCTGTAGAGCCTTGACGAGTAAAAGTAGCTCATGAATAGGAGGAACAGAATAGAAGGCACAGAAATAAACCCAAATAGATGTGTGGTAATTGAGTATATGAGTAAAGTGGCTCCTTAAATCAGTGAAAAGTGGAAAGATGGAGTTTTTGAGAAACGGTGTTGGAACAAATGAGTAGCCGTATGGAATAAAAGGAACCCGTACTTCCCACCATATACAGCAGGATAAATTCCAAATGGATCAGAAATTTAAATGGGAAACTGAAACTATAGGCAGTAAAATAAAACGTAAGCCACTTGCTTTACAACCTCAGAGTCTCTAGCTTAGATTCAAAAATCCAAACACTGCAAAATAAAATATTGATAAATTCTACTCATACAAATTTTTTGGATCTGCATGGCTGAAAAAGTCCCAGTGGAGCATAATTCCCCAGCCCTTGAGTGTGGGCTGTGCACAGCGACTTCCTCCAGTGAGGACAGAATGGACGGGGAAAAGTTACAGTGAGATGCCTGACAAACACGCGTCAGCCAGATGACCCAGGTCCACACCGCAGGGATCAGTCATGCTGACAGCACGGGCCCTGATGGGAGGTGCCCTTCTTGGCACCTCCCCTCTGTGGTCTTCCTCCCAAACCCATAACCCCGGTCTAATCATGAGAAAACAGCAGACACATCCCAGCTGAGGGGCTTCCTACAGAACACCTGCCCATCGTCCTCAACACCGCCACGGTCAGCAAAATCAAGGGAAGTCTGAGAAACTGTCCCAGCCCAGAGGAGCCAAGAAGACGTGACGACTAGATGTAACGTGGGATCCTGGGTGGGGTCTTGGGACAGAGAAAGGACAGTAGGTACAAACTAAATAAATCCAAAATAGACAAGCCAGCCCCATAAGTAGGTGCTCAGCAAATGCTGGTTGAATGAATGAGTGAATGAATGAAGGCTGTGTTAACACCTCTCTGTTTCCTTCCCTCAGAAAATCGCCTTCATGGTGGCGCTGGGCCTGGTGACGACGGAACACTTGGAAGGTAAGATCTGCACAGCGGCAGGCTGGACCCAGCCTGGCCCACAGGACGGGGGTGGGGGCTTGTGACACTTTCTTGTTTCAGTGGAGGGACCACGTGGGTTCCCTGTCTCCAAATTGGGGGCAGCACAGTGAAGTGATAAGAGGCGGGTGTTGGAGCCAGACTGCCCAGCTCTGCCATCTAATAACTCCTCAAGCTTAGCTTCTCCGTGCCTCGGTTCCTTCATCTGTAAAATGGGATAATAACCGAACCTTCCTCTTGGGATTGTTGTCAAGCACAGAGAGGAAGCCCAGCACCCAGCTAAGCACAGAGTTCAGTTCCCTGGGTCCAGTTTGCTCTCTGGTGGCATCTGGGACACAGACGTGGATGGGGAAGGACAGGGACGGGGCCCACCCCTCCAGACCGCCGGCTCCACTGACCTGGACTCTGGGGGGAAAGTGCATCTGAGCAGCCGCGGCTCGTGGCCCCCTCTCCTGCAGTGCAGGGTTGGAAGGCGTTCTGCGAGCTTTCCATCTGATTGTTTGAACGCCCCGGTCTGAAATTGAGTGTAAGGAATCGGCTGGGCTCGGCTGCCTCTGAGAGCTGTGTGTGCTCCCGCTGCAGAGCTGTGGAGGCAGCGTGGGGCAGTGGGGCTGGCCCTCGCAGTCACGTCAGAAGACTTGTGCTCCAGTCCTGGTCGTGCTGCTTAGAGCCAAGTGACCTTGGGCAAGCTCCTTCCCCACTCTGAACCTCAGTCTCCTCATCTACAACATGAGGAAAACTGCATCTTCAAACTTTGCGGGGTTGTCGTGAGAATTGAGATAAAAGTGCTGTGCTAATATGTTTGTGATTGTTACTATGATTTTTATAAATAGCCCTCATTTTGAAAACTCTCCCCCTCGCCCATGATCTCCTAAATGTTTATTTATTTGGACTTTGTCTTCTTCCACGGAGGGTCCGAGGTGCCTTACAGGAAACACATGAATAATATTGAAAAAGTTTAAAAGGAAAAATCATGTTGGAGAGAGAGAGATTAGAAAATAATGTCAAACAGCTTCTCAGCAGCAGGTGGCAGGTCCCACCTGGCAGTCAGAGCAAAAGGAAGAGAGAGAGAGAGAGAAACGCAATTCGTGTGCGTGGCCATTCTCACTACGAAGCACAGCACACCAGGCCCTCTGGGGAGGGTTCAGGTTTGAGGCTTCGTGAGGGCCGGAGGCTGCCTGAGCCGCAGGTCTGTGCCTGGTCTGCCCAGGAGCCCTGACCTCACTCTGCAGCTCAGCCAGGCCAGCGTCTGACCAACAGACATCAGTTGTCCCGAGGTCACAAGAGATACGGCCCCGGGCTGGACGGTGGCACACGGGGGGACCCTGGGCTGAGAGTGGACACCTGGACTCTGGGAGCCTGCCACCCTCCTGCCCATCGGTCCTTTAGCCTGAGGCCGGCAGGCGTGTCCTGCCTCAGAGTGAGCGATTCCTGCCCCAGGGCCACTCAGGAGCATGGACACTGTGCAGACAGAGAGGCTGCAGGGCAGGAGGGGACAGTGGTGTCCAGGGCTGGTGGAGGGAGAGTTGGGGTTCCCAGGGCAGGAGGATCCAGTAACCGCCGCACCTGTGCCTTTCCAGAAATCCAGAGCAAGCGCCAGGAGCGGAAGAGAAGAAGTACAGCCAACCCCGCCTACAGCGGCCTCCTGGAGACGGAGGTGAGGGCCCCACCATCGCGCACCCGGGGAGGGGAGGCTCCCTCACCCGTCCCTCCTGGGATGGGAGTGCGGGGCATGGCAGTAAATAATGTCAGTCTTCGCCCCCTGCGATCAGAACCACTGAGAGGCAGATGCGGGAGGTGAAAATGTCAGTGTGTTCCCCATGTAAGCCGCCCTGGGGAGCAGGGCTGGGGTGCAGGTCACAGCAGGCTTCCTGGTGCTTCCCCCTGATCGTCACGCCTGCCGTCCAGTCGCAGGCGGTGGGGAGCCACACCCTGGAATCGTCCCCTAGAGGTGAAGCGGTTTCCTTAGGGCCCCGAAGTCCAGAGCTTGGGGCAGCTTTCCGAAGTGGAGCCATGTTCCCAGAGCCCAGTGCCTGGCACGTTCCAGACCCGAGCTGTCGCTGCCAGAGGGCCACGAGGCTCCACGGAGCCTGGAGGAGGGTCAGGAAAATGTCCTTCTCACCTCCCCAGCGTGTTGGTCCATCTGGGCTTGTTGTCCTGAATCCAGGTCTCGTGAACTGGAACTTGGCTGGGAGGGAGGGCTCTCCCACCGAGCGGGGGTCGCTCTGGCCCTACCACTGCCCTGTCGGGAGAGCCCACCTGTGTGAGGTCCACAGCCCGCCCTCCCTCCCCTGCTCCTTCTCAGAGGACATGCCCTACGTGTGCATTTTTATTCCGTTCACGTCCTCCTAGATTTTCTGAGCAAGCTCTGTCCCTGAGACAAGATACCTCAAGGACTGTCCCCCTTTTGTGAGAATGTCCCCTGGTTGGTTCTCGACCTCTGTCCAGTGAAATGGCGTATTCTTTGTATGTTGGGGACCCTCTTGTCTTCGCTGTGCTCATCGTGGGCAGAGCCATACCCTCATCTCTGAAGTCTGTGGCCAGGGCCAAAGATGACCTGATTAGCAAATCAAGAGCCAACACAAAGCCCTGTGATCTTTGAGCCCTAGACATATAAGTAGTCCCAAGAGTGGCCATGGGTCCCTCCCCACAGCCCAACTGCAGGGAAAGAGACGGGGGTAAAGCCAGTCATCCAAGTCTAGAGCCATCTTCTGCCACAGTCAAAGCCACCACGGACCACCAGGGTCTGAATCAGTGTGGCCTGTCATTGCTAGAGCCACTCTTCTGGAATGTACCAGAAACTTCCATCTACACATGATGCTTTCTTTGGGCACCAAGGGCCACTCTTGGTTGCCAGGGTCCCTGGGCCACGTGCCAAGAAGCAGGGTTTAGGGAGCCAGTCTACAATGCCCCTCATTTCCCCGCCTCACTCCAGAACCAGCTGAGAAGGAAGATACAGTAGGCACACAGATGGAGACCCAGATGGCAGCTTTGTTACTGATTTGTTCCAATTTGGGGTCTCTGACACGTCCTTCCTGAGACCGATGTGCCCACCGGCAGCAGGGATGGGCCCCGCGGCCTCCCTCAGGGCAGAGCCTTGGCTGACCTTCACCCCCACTGACCCGCCTTCCCCCCTGCCCTGTGTCCCCTCTGTCTGCCCCTGTTTCTGCCTCTGGCCAGGGGTGTCCAGCCGGAGTCCAGAGCCTGGTAGGACCCTGTCCCGAGTGAGTCCTGGGCAGGGCAGGGTCACCGAGGAGGGCTCCGCACAACCATGGTTTGGTTTCTTTTCTGTCCCTGCAGAGGAAGCGGCTGGCGCCCGGCTGTCTCAGTACCCCCCTGTTCCTCACAGCCAGAGGTAAGAGCCCGCAGGCCGTGCTTCTCCTCCCGGGGCGGCTCTGGGCCGGGGGCCAAGGTGGCTTTGGTGGCCCTCTGCTCCTGGCGGGGCAGGGGCTGGGCTCAGCTGAGCCTCCCTCCTCTGGCGGCCGCGGGCCTGAGGACCCGGCCTGCCCCGTCCACAGCAGCGGTGTAGCTGCTTTCCAGTGGATGGCACATCAGGGCTCACCAGGCCCTGCTCGCCACGGCCTCCTTCGTCCTCACGGCTCCTGTGGGGAGGAGGGCCGGGGGCGTGTGCTCCCATCTGCAGAGACTGAGGCTCTGAGCAGGAGTGTGGGCAAAGGTCACACACGAGGCCCAGGCCCAGGGCTCCGGGCTGCCCCTCTGCCCCACCCCAGGTGTGATCCGGAGCAAAGAACCAGGCCACGTGGGCTCAGTGTGGCAGGACCCGCCCACCACAGGGCCCACCTGGGTGGGAGTGTGGGCGATGGGTGGGGAGGGGCCTCCCACCTTCCCCCCTCTGCCAGCACCTCCATGTTCTGGGCGTGGCTGGCGTGGTGGCCTCTGTGCCGTGGCCCAGCCCAAGTGTCACCTGCTTCACACAGCCCTGGGAAGAGCCTCTCTCTACTCTCAGGCAGCAGCTCCCTCCCAGCTGGGCTCGCCTCACACACCCTCGTGTTCTTGCCCTGGGCTGTGAGAGAGCCCAGGCTGGACGCAGGAGCCCTGAGTTCTCTGCCCGGCTCTGCCTCTGCCTCTGCCTCACTGTGCAGCCAGGGCCAGACCTTCCCCACCGCCCTCTGGCTTCCTCCACACGACAGGGTGCTGGGCCCCCAGCTCTGGCAGGCTGGGACCTGGCCCAAGGCCTCCATCTGAGGATGCACGGACCCCTCCCTCCTCTGCCAGCCTTGCGTTGCAGGACCTCAGGGGAGCCAAGAAACCCACATCCTCAAATGCAACCAGGAAGTCTCTTTTTATTTGCAACCAGAAAAAAACAAATACAGTCGTGTCCCATAACGATGTTTTGGTCAACAACAGACCGCATATACGATGCTGGTCCCGTAAGATCATACCACGTAGCCTAGGTGAGTGTAGGCTGTACCATCCAGGTTTGTGTGAGTACATTCTTTGAGGTTCACACGATGACGAAATCACCTAACCATGCGTTTCTCAGAACGTGTCCTTGTTAAGTGACTCGTGACTGTGGTCCTAAGGGCAGAATGCCCACTTCTTAGGACTCTCTGTGGCTTTCGGCGTGTCATGTCACCTCCCTGTGCCTTGGTTTACTGATCTGTAAAATGGGCCCATAACAGTACCTGCCCTTCAGCGCTGGGACAGTGACACGAGAGGTGAACATGACAGCACTTTGTAAACTGTCGAGTGCTGGGTACACACAGGAGCTGTTCTTCCCACTGGGTGGTATTATTTGCAGACAGGTCTGACTCAGAAACTAAAAGGAAAACCATTTGTTGTGATCATTAAAATGTCTGGTTAGGCATCACTTACTAGAATGAGAGTGGTTTATGGCCGAAAAAAGAGTTGGAAATAAGTCCCTCTGAGGGGTCCCTGGAGTGATGTTTCCTTCCATGGGACAGCTCACTGCGGCACATAACTCAGAGAGCTCGGGGCCATGATGAGCCTGCCCATGGTGGGTGCTGGCCGTGACCAGGGTCACGGGCCCGGGGACCCTTACTTCCTTCGTGCCCCAGGTGAGAAACCCGGGTGTCACGGGGCCTGGATACTCCCATCGTGCCCCGGGTGAGAACCCGGGTGTCACGCGGCCTGTGATACTCCCATCATGCCCTGGGTGAGAACCCAGGCCGCACTGGGCCTTGTGGACCCCAGGCCTGATTGGTGCTCCTCCCATGCCCACTAACGTGTTCTCCGCCCTTCTTCCCTGTGCCAGCCAATGAGGAGCCCTGCCGGCAGGTACGTGTGCCCTCGTCCTCACACTTGGGTGGGTGGGGCATGCTTTCCATACAGTCTAGGTAGGGTCGCTCCTGGCAAGGGAGGAGGGGCCCCAGTGTCCTGCTGCCTTGGAGTAGAGCAGAGGAAAGGGTAAACCGAGGCTCTGAGCAGGTGTCCTCGGTGTTGAGAGCTCCACACAGCACCCGGTCTTCTTTCCAGCCTGCTCGGCACAGTAGGTCATGGATACAGGACTCAGCCCACTGGTTCAAGCAGGAGCCCTCCCCGCACAGCACTGAGAGTGCAGGGATCCTGGGAGCCACGAAGGCCTGAGGGGAAGCAGCCTGTGACAGATGCCAGTTGGGCTCTGCCTGGCTCCGCCTGGCCTCGCTATGTGACCCTGGGTGGAGCTGGCCCTCTCTGGTCCTTATTGCCCACCTGATGAGGGGCTGGACTTGGTAATCCCCAGGGTCGCCCCAAACGACCACATTTCTGTGACCCTGTGAGACCCCAGGCCCCCACGCACACACTACGTCCCTGCTTCTCAGATCATTGGCTGGGAAATGACCTCTTTTGTGGGCATGCCTCAGAATTTATTCACTGTTTTTCTTTACTAAGTTTCGGATCTAACTGTAAAAGAATTTTCCAGTCCTCACGTGTCTGTGTCATGGTCAAAGGACTAAGAATTAACAGGGGACGGGCATGGACTCCATTACACGATGGTGTTTGCCGCAGTAACCTGCAGCGTCGCAGCTCGGTGCCAGTGGGCCTGGCCGTGTTTGTCCACGGCCACCCTGTGCCCAGCCAGCACGGGCCTGGGGACGGGAGCCACCTCGAGCCCGCGTCCCTCCCCCGCAGCGCCCACAGTCCTGGAGGGGCCTTGGCTTCGAGGCAGGAGACCTGGGTGTTCCTCCCCCCGGCTGCAGGCCTGTCCCCATGCAGCTGCCCTCTGGGGCTTATCCCTCCCGGAGCTGCTGAGAAACACTGGCGGAAGCTGGGTCACACAGGTCGGGCTGGCAGCTGCCTGGGGCCCCCACTGCCACCCAGCTGACCTGCCTCCCGCCCTCCCCTTTCTTTCAGAATGAGATCACCCACGATGAGCACTGTGCCGCCTGCAGGCGGGGGGCTAATCTGCAGCCCTGCGGCACCTGCCCGGGCGCCTACCACCTCAGCTGCCTGGACCCGCCCCTCAAGACCACACCCAAGGGCGTGTGGGTGTGCCCCAAGTGCCAGCAGAAGGTACGGGAGGCTGTCCCCTGGGCTGGTGCCGCTCCCCTACCCTCTCCGTGCACTGCAGGGCCCTCCCCCGACACGTCCAAGGCTTCTCAAACCTTCTGGGCTGCAGAGACAGGGAGGTCGGGGGGCAGGAAGGGGCTGGTGCAGAACAGGCTTTCTCCACTTCAGCACAGTCGACGCCTGGGCGGGATAATGCGCTGTGGGGGCTGTCCTGTGCACTGCACGGTTTTACCCACTAGATGCCAATTGCGCCTCCGTCGTGACCGTCTCAGACGTTGCTGGTTGAGGACCACTGGTGTCAACTGAGCAGGTGTCCCTCCATAGTGTCCAACTTAGTGACTCCACCTCTGACTCCAGTCCCCTCCCAGGCGGAACTGGACTAGCAACGCAAACTGCAAAAATAGTGCCAGTTGAGGGGCCGGCCTGGTGGCATAATGGTTAAGGTCACGCTCTCTGCTTTGGCGGTCCGGAGTTCGCAGGTTCAGACGTACGCACAGGACCGGGCACGGACGTACGCACTGCTTATCAAGCCATGCTGTGGCGGCGTCCCACATATAAAATGGAGGAAGATGGGCACGGATGTTAGCCCAGGGCCAGCCTTCCTCAGCAAAAAGAGGAGGATTGGCAACAGATGTTAGCTCAGGGCTGATCTTCCTCACCAAAAAAATTTTTAAAAAAATAGTGCCAGTTAATGTTGGGTCTCATGGACAATGACACACAAATGAAAATCTACCAAATTAACAAAAACGATAACACTCCCTTCTGGCGATGACGTGGTGGGGCAGGCACTCTTACACACTGCAGTATTTTATCAGGAACCTTAAAAATGGGATACCTCTTAAACCCAGAATCTTGCTTTGGGGAATATAGTCTAAGGAAATAATCCAAATACAGATAAAATTCTGTGCACAAAGAAGGGCCTTCCCCTTTATTTATAAAAGGGAAAAATAGAAGGAACCTAACTTTTTAGTAATAGGAGATGGTGAAATAAATTCCAGTGCTTACGCTTATTGAGATACTATGTGGTCATTGAAAACAATTTTTTACAAGGATTTTGCAATTCTTTGGGACTTGTTCACTATGTGGAATTAAGTTTAAAAAATAAAATAAAAAATAGGTTTTATAGCTGCTGTATGGTTTCGTCGTCCGGTCTCTGAGAAAAACTGTGCAGACTGAAAAACCTGGGAGAAGGTTCTTCCCAGTGCTATATTGTGTGTGTGCTGGAGGTGGGAAGCAGCAATGGTTTTTTTAAATTGTGCTTTTCTACAGAGTGTGTGGCTTGTAAAATCATAGGAGAGGCTTCTTTATTGCAAAAGCACGAGCTCTCGTGAGTTCCTGTCATCCCGGGTTTTGTGGGGCTCTAGGGAGAGGGTGGGTATGGTGGGCTGTGTGCTGCTGCGGGGCTGTCCCTTCTGGGGGCCACCAGCCCCTGCACTGTGACCACCCAGGGTCACAGCTCTTTGAGGGGATGCGGAGAGGGACACGGTTCTGTTCCCCGCTTTGGCGTGATGGTGGGGCCTCACTGGGTCCCCAGTTTGTCCCTGTTTTGCCTGGGGCTGCTTTCGGGTCCCCAGGACCTGGGAAGAAGACACATGATCGTTCATTTATTCATTCATTCAGGAAGAGTTTGAGCCTGCTCCCTGCCAGGCACTGTTAGGGGCCCTGGCGACAAGCAGGCTCCTGCCCTCATGGAGCTGCTGTCCTTAGAGCAGCTGCTGTGAGCCTGGGTGTGGCCCAGTCCCTGGTCACGGCTGAGGCACCTGCACCGAGAGGCCTGCCTCCCCAGGATGACACAGCCGGGGCGTGGCGGGTCCCGGCCTCTCCGCTGGCTCATTTCCCCATCCGCCCTCCAGGCCTTAAAGAAAGATGAAGGTGTGCCCTGGACTGGGATGCTGGCCATCGTGCACTCCTACGTCACCCACAAGACAGGTAAGACGTCCTTGGGGAGGGGGAAAGGGCACCGCCTCTGCTCTCTCCAGCCCCGCCCCCAGGCCTCTGGACTCACACAGGGCCCGTCGGTGTGCATGCTGAAGAGAGGGGCCCTGGGACTGGTCCTGTGTGCAGGGCAGTTACTGGGGGGGGACGGCACTTCCAGCCCCTCCGCGTCCAGCCGGGGCCACTCTCCTGCGGGAAGATGCGGCCAGGACGGCCTGTAGACGTAGACCTGGCGTTCTCGCTGCCCCGTCTGCTCACCCGTGGCCCAGCCTCTGCTTAGCTGCCCTCCTGGGGGCTCCGCCTTCTCTCCCGCAGTCAAGGAAGAGGAGAAGCAGAGGCTGCTGCAGAGAGGCAGCGAGCTGCAGGGCGAGCACCAGCAGCTGGAGGAGCGGGACCGGCGCCTGGCCTCAGCGGTGGAGGTGCGTGGGGTGGGGGCCGCCCTCAGAACCACAAGGTGCGGGTCCAAAGCTTCGCTCTCTGTCACTGGAGCCCCAGAAGGGGACGGGCGTGCCAGCAACACTCAGTGAGGCGGTAGGTGGAGGAGGCAGCTCTGTGACTCGTCTGACAAGTAGTTATCAAGCAGTTCAGCACCCAGCTCTGCTCCTTCCCGTCTCTGCAACTTTGGCAAGGCCCTGACGGCCTCTGAACCTCAGCTTCCTCTGATGTAAAGTGAACATAATGATTTCTCCTCTGTAGGGTGGTGATAAGCAAAGACAATGGTGGTGGTGATGGTGATGATTGTGGTGGTGTTGGTGGTGATGATAATGATGGTGGTCGTCATGATGGTGATGGTAATGATAGTGATGGTGATGGTGGTGATGATCATGGCGATAGTGATGATGGTGATGGTGGAGACGATGGTGGTGGTGATGGTGGTGGTGGTGATGGTGGTGGTGGTGATGGTGTTGATGGTGATGATGATGGTGGTGATGGTGGTGGTGATGATGATGGTGATGGTGGTGTGGTGGTGGTGAT